GGCCTGATCATAGGTGTCTCACTCCTCTAGACATTCTGATTGGGAAACCCTTACTAGCTAGACACTACTCCATAGGTAGGACCAGCTTTATGTGTAGGTAAAGTAATGCTATTATTTTAGGGGTATCTGGAAGGCAGCACCTCCTTTCTTCCCTCCTTTACTTCCACAAGCCCTGCTTGCTGATGCTTATAATTCTTTTAGACAATTCCTTAGAAAAACAAAAACCTGTGTTGAAAGGGAGGAAAACATTTTGAATATTAGCTATGCTTTATAACATGAGTAGATAAGTTTAGCAGATCAAGAAAAAATTGGTGGGGGGCAGGTTTTGATAAGAGAACTTGAGACACCAAGCCTGTGTGTTGGGGTTTGTGTGGGTAGGTTTGATAAACTCTATGAAGCAGGTAGCAAAGGAATATAAATGGATGGAAGGGCAGAATTTATCTGTAAAATGGGGGTGTACCTGCCTCACAGTATTGTTGAGAGAATTAAATGAAATGATTATGTAAAGGACTTAATATAATAAGGAAGTAAGTACAGTTACTATTGTTTTTCTTGGTCTGAAAGAATGAACACATGTCACAATAAACTGGAATGGGAAAGAGGCAGAAAAGTGAAGTGTTCTCACCTCATCCATCCAAGCTGCACTAGGCTAGAAGAGGAAGCCTCCGTGCCTGTGTCTGGCTGGGTCTCCTCCATGCCAAACACCTGGCCATTTGGAAATAACCAGATGAGAGACTGACTATTTCATTCATAGCCGACATCCTTGCCAAAAGAAGAGATTGCCTAACAGCTGTCTCCATCACAATGGGCTTCTTAGAACTTGTCAGTTTGGCCTAAATGGAGAGAATTTTATGGCCATCATGAGGTCTGGTTTGCCTCCTGTGTGTTTATAGTAAATTACTACTTTTTTCTCCACTGTCTAATTTTTTCATGCAGTACCACATCTGACATGAATTGAAATTGTGCAAAACTAGAAGTGTTCCTAGTGGTTAGGTAATAGCTTAATGGAATCTGATAACTTCCAGTTGAGGCAGCTGATGGAATCCACACGTTAATACTACCACCTTACACTAAGTGAAGTTTTACAGCACTTTCCCGTGCACTACCTCTCTTGAGAAAGAGCCTCCAAACATGCATGGAAGTGGGGAAGGCAAGTAGAATCATCCAGATTTTCTGGACGAAGTAACTAAAGTACTTCCTGACTTAGATTCCTTGGGTAATGAGGCAGGGAATGAGCAAGGCTTGAAAGGGGTTTACCCAACACCACCTGGGGGAGAGCCAGGAACCTGGGACTACACTCCTCAGCCTTCCAGCAGTGAGTCCTGCTGCAAAGAGGTGGCATGATGGAGGGGCCAAGACTTTGGGATGAGAAATGGACTAGAATCCAGCTCCTTTACTGGCTGGGTCCTTGAGGGCAAGTCTCCCCAAATCCCTGGGCCTCTGTCTTGTCATCAACAATGTGGGGCTTCCTGGGGCAGTCATACTAATGTGAGAGTTGTCATGAAGCTTAAAATGGGATCGTAATGTTGAAGCATCTGGCACATCTTCTGCTCCCTCCACTGCATGAAAAGAGGTTTCAGGGTGTCATGATCAGCCTAATTATTGAGCATCATCATTTTCAGGCCCAAGGCTTACTGAGAGGTTGCCCTATACCAGACACTGTGCTGAGAGCTCACATAAATTTATCCCTTGTAATCACCACGTCAACCTTATGAGGAATTTATTATCCCCATTGGATTGATGAGAAAAGTGAGGTATAAAAGACTAAACAGTTTGACCAAAGCATACATTTAAGAAATGGCTGAGCCCAGATTCAAGTCTTCACCGCCTCCTTATTTACAGAGTCGTTGAGCTGAAAGGAACTTTAAAAATCATCTGGGCCACAGGCTGAACTTCCATGTCTCATAACTTAAGAACTTTGTTATAAGAAATGTTTTATTAATAAATTAAAATACTAAGGTTTGTGAATCATTTGCTTTGGCTTATAATTAGAGTAGATTTAAGGTTATTTTTGCAGTAATTCTTTTACTTATATTCTTATAATAATTTTGACTTGTACTTTGAAATGCTTTCTTGGTGGAAGAGAAAGAGGCAGGTACACCTAATGGGCGGGGCTTGATGACCAGGTTGCCTTATCTAAATGTACTCCTTTTGTCTGTTGACCTGGTGGAAACAGGGTATGGCAGTGACTCCCTAAATGTAAGCCAAAACCTGCTAAAAGCTGCAATAAGGGAATGAGTGATATCTTGTTTGCCTTGAGCCATGGAGGGTTCAGCTCTTGACTTTGCTTTTTGAGCTAAGTCCAACTGAAAGTACTGCAAATTACATTCAACTCCTTACGTTGACAAAGTTTAATTTAGCAAGTCTTTTTGCAAATACAGGTGAGAGATTCAGTCCCAGAGACCAACTAATACAGGAGATTGAGGAGGGCCCAGCTAACATTCTTTCCAGTGGGTCAATGCCACACACTTCTATGGAATATTAGCACCATGAATGGTTAGGGGTGCTGCTTAGAAATAAAAAGTGACAACTTCCAACTGGCATTTCCCATTATGTGGGATCTTTCTGAATGAGATGATTTTCCACTTGTGGGAGGGAGGAGTAAGATGTCAATGAAGGCAGAAGGGGGTTTCTAGAACATCCAAAGGCAGGAGACTACAGTTGTTCTCACAATTTGAAAATGATAGAGCCCTCATATGCATTCATTTCACTAATAATTTATACATCCTAGTTCTTTGAGAGCTGGTGAAAACAGAATACACAGCACATTCAGAGTGACAATTAAGTATTTAACAATGAGGCAAAATTTTGAAGAGAAAACAGAATTTTCAAATATATGTTCATCAGCCCACTGAAAAGTCAATGATATTCCAAATTCCTTAAGCCTGTACAAACATATGAGGTTTGTCAATACAGGGCAAACAGAGTGACAAGTTGAACAATTGCCCAGATAATTTGTTTCTGGGAGAGTTTGCTTAGATCATGCAAACTAGTACTTTCCCTCTCCCCTTCCCCCCCCCACCCCTGTTTTCCCCTAGCATATTTTTGTATCTGCATTTATCTATATACAGCTATATCCACCTTCCAATTCACTTTGACTGTATAGACAGACTGTGGCCTTGGCTACATATATGCACATTAAATACAGTAGATGTTCAAGGGAATTAGATGGATGAAGTACACTGGTCCAAAGTCTGTTTTTCTCTACTGTGCAGCTCCAGCCAAGGACAAAGTAAACTGTTTGTTAATAATCACCAAGTGAATTAACGAAGACACACTAAGTCTAAAATCCTTGCTTTTCTTTCAGGGATCTGAATTGTTTGGATACTCATCTAGACCTGACTACAGACATATCCAGATACACAGATATATTTTCACATATGTTTACATCATATAGATGATCCAGATAATTCCAATTTCAAATATTTGCTTCTTTACTAATGCCCATCCTTGAATTCTTAGGATACCTGCTTCCCCTTTACTTAGTTTCTGGGTCAGTTAGAATATCTCTGAGCCAGAGTGTCAATTCAGTGTTGATCTTGAAAGTAAATATGGGGAGAAAGAATGGGGGACGGGCGTGGATTCCAAAAGAAAGAAAAGACCTCCCACTCTCAGGAGTTTGCACTCTCATTTTATACTCAGCTGTTGCCCTATTGCAAAGCAGCAGGATAAGAAGAATATTCAAGTTGACTCAATGAAAAACATTTACATGTTTGTAAACGAGTTTAGTTTTTTAGTTTTTAAGTGGCATTCAGCAGATACACTCTTATAGTGATATCAGTATAACACAAGGAAAGTAGTATTTGGAAATTTCACTCATCTACTTGATTCGCCCTGGACAGAAAATTCCAAGGTGTGCATTTTTCCAAGGCTATATAGTGATCCAATAAACTAGATAAATGTTAGATCTCTAAGGTAACTGTTAAATCTGAGGTAGGATAAAATGTGATTGCAGGGGTTCTACCCTAGCCATGTTCTCTACTGATCTGTTGCTTTTGGCTTTTGGGGTCATGGAAAGAAAGAGAGGGGGAGAAATGTTGAGGGAGAAGGATTATGGTATATGAGGAGCACTCCTTAGAAGTTTGAACTCACTGTGTTGTAGAATTAGATATAGATTCAGAGACTTCCCTCCGCCAAATCACTGAAGCTGTGGTAAGAATTAATAGATGCCATTACCTGAAGTTATTTCTTAGTTACTGTACTCCTGGAGCTAAGCAACAATGCAAACATGAAAAAAGGAATTTTATTTTAATTTGAAATGCATTGTGTGAATTTTTTTTCCTACAGCAGATAAATGGTACTAATTATATATTTTACTCAGGCTGTTAATAAGTTACTTTGTATTACCTGAATCTACACCTATTGTATCAGAGGTAAGTGGCTGAGGAATAAATTGAGAGACTGGGAAAGGGTAGTCTTCAATTTAACTTTTGCCACAGACAAATCACATGTGGATAAACAAGAGTTAATTGAATATAATTCATAGGAAAAGTCACATGCTGAACTTGTAAGCATTTCTCCAAAGGTGTGAATATTGCGGTCCCCAACCCACCGAAAACAAAATCAAAAGCCCTTTATTCACACTAGTGGGTGTGTTTAGCCCTAGGTACCCAGTGTTGGCCTGGCCTTTGTAATTGACTTGAGTGCTTCTGCCCCTGTCATTACAAAGCTCCCATCTCAGGGCAGGACAGTGAGGAGTCGAGTGTGAGTCTTGCTGATGGCTTGTCTTTCCCAAAGCATGTTTTGTGGAACAGACCTTTAGGGCTGCAGTTTCCTGCACAAATCTTGGCCTCCGTATTTTCTCCTGCAGTCTGGTTTCTGGTTTGGATGCGCTCAGATGACCGGCGTCTCCCGGCTCGCTAACACCCCACAGGAGGTAAGTGTATAAAAGGCCAGAGGCCACGGTTGTTCATGGGAGGAGGACTACCTGGCAAAGGTGGGTGGTTTCCATGTGGAATACTGTTGAGAAGTGCTCCAGGGCAGGGACTGACCAAACTTTTTTAGTGGTCGAGGCACTTGTCTGAATTTCTTGGGATGAAAATCATTCCTAGCAGGTCGCTGGTCTCATCTGGGTGCAAGGATAAGTCATTTTTCTTCTGCATCTTTTCAACACATCGACCTTGCAGTGTCTGCACGTGGAAGCTTCTCAGAAGTGTGACCAGGGTGACCTTCATCATCACCATGGCAATGTATTTTCCCGCACAGGCCCGGGGCCCAAAGCCAAATGGCTGAAAGTACCTGTAAGGAACCTAGGAAAATGATCAGACAATTAGCCCGAGAAGTAAAGGCTAGAGTCATGCATATCTGTTTGATTCACCCTGAAAACACTGTGAGTCAGAATGCTCGGTTTCAGCGACTTGGCCATACTGCTCCTTCACGGAGAGGAATGACTGTAACTCAGATAAGCCTCTTTCTCCCTCCAGTTTGATTCACCCTTTGTGATACGGACACAACTTCAAACAATCCCCTGTTTTGCTTTTCATGTAAATACTCAACTAGCTCTGTGGGAAGACCATGGCTTTACTGCTGTTCTGCCAGTCATTGAGGCAAAGATTGTTTTTGTGCCAGGGCATATAACATGATGACAAGGACAAATTTAGGCAAAGGTGTGGATTCCCTGTATATTAGTGCCAAGGATCTGAATATATTTAGTTATACAAATATTTAATGGGACACCTCTGCCTGTCTTGTCCCCATTTGGATTCACATAGTGCCTGACACTTAATACACGCTCAGTAAGTTATTTTTGACCAATTGCCAACATGGTGTGGGTTGCTTATCTAGAAATGGAATGAATTAGATAGCTGATTTTACTAAGATCATATTTCCATATGCAGATGGAAAAAGGGGACACAGAGGGAACTATCTGGATAATTCAGGTTAAAAAAATCTTTGCCTAGAATTGACATAATGGAGGCAGAATCTCCAGTATACCTCAGTTACAGAAAAAGAAGCAGCTGAGGCTCTTGTAATTACAAAGTCTTATATAGAATGAGGCCTAGTGCTTGTGGGGCCATTTGAGAAACCAAAGGCCCACTGCAAAAACCAAATCTTTTCTTCTCACTTGATTTCCATCTGAAGCAGAAGTGGATTTCCTTGACTTAGATGATGCTAGGGCTGAATCTACATGGTGACAAGGTGATAAGTTTAAATGGAAAAGTTAAGTTTAAATGGGTTGGTTAAAGAAAATTTGCCTCATTTTAAGCAAATTAAGGGCCTGAATTATTCATCTTTTGACCTATTGTGTGGCCTCCATGAAGACATTTCTGAGAGCTGGAGAGCCAGCCTCCTTGGCTTGAGGACAGACATGGTGGTCGTGTTCCAAGCTAGGGGAAATGTGTTTTCCTGGTGAGGTGTGAAGAGAATGAGTAAATAGAATGAAATATATCCAGTGAAAACACAGAAACAGAGAGCACTTAAGAGGTGACATTTTCAAGAGTGGCACACTCAGTTTTAAGGAAGGGCTCTTACATTCCTGGCAAAGTTTTCAAGAGTAAATTCATTGGGCTTGGGGAAAAACTCAAGTCTATGCATTCTTCCAATATTCAGGATAATGTTAGTCCCCTTTTTCACTGGGTAGCCATCGATGACATCATCCTCTAAGGCTTTGCGCATGACCAGGTCCACGACAGGCTGGTACCGCATGCTCTCATAAATAAAGCTTTCTACCACTTTTAGTTTTTGCATATCATCAATCCTTATGTCTCTTTCACCTGTAGAAGAAGATAAAAAAAAAAAACTCATGTTAGCTTTAATATACGATTGGTATTAAAAATACTGCGCTTTCCATAGAACAGTTTGCTCTTGGTTGAAAAAAAATTAATATCTATAATTCTAATATAAACCAGCAACCTGCATTAAATATGTTATGTTTGGTCCACAGAGTGTCTTATGAATATTCAGATTTGAAGTCAATTATCTTAACACCTGGGCTTTTCATATTAAAGTCTAAATTTCTAGAAAAATAGAAAAGGTAAAACGGGACCTACATTCCCACATGGCTCTGCAGTATCATGTAGACATACCCAAACTGCTTCAAACATTTATTTATCTGCCGCCTCTGTGGTTCTTGAGTTTTGTCCCCTACTCTAAATTCTAGAAGACGTTCATTCCTTCTCTAGTCAAAGTGAGATGGTGAGTTTAATCAGGTTCAAAGAAATTTTCTCTTCTGGTATCCTGTGCAGTCATTTGTCAGAAAGTATCACGGATAGTCTCTCCTCCTCACCTCATCAAGAACAACCTGGTGTGGTAGTGTGGCAAGAACCCCCTCTCCCCACCACAACAAAAGGGGTGCCTCAGATCAGCCCTGGGTGAACTGGGGATTGGCCGATCCCTCGTCTCAGCTTGGCCTCACACTTGTCAGAGAGGTTCAGATTACTCTCAGAATTGGCAAAACTTCAAAGCACCCTCAAATGGGGTATCACTTCTGCAGAATCAGAATCAACCCAGGGTCCTGAGGCAGCTCTGTCTCCTGTGCAACTATGTTATTCAGGAGTGGTCTCACTTAGAGAACTCTAACCACCCAGCCCCTCACATACTGCTCTCTGTACACTTAAGAGTTTAATGGGCTGTGTTTATCTGGGGTGGGGAGGTAGAGGGTAGATGATGGAGCAGGTAACACCAGGCATGCAGGTCTAGAGGGAACACGTACACGTGTGCTAGTGGTTGTTTGGACTTTCCATCTGTGCAGAGGTCTGTTGAAGCATCAAGGGAACATCGTGGGGCACAAGCACTTTTCACCTCTCAAGGAAATTGTATTAAAGGTTTATGATCTCAAGAGCAGTTTCCCCTGTGTTGCCTATACCCCCATCATTCTGTGACTCTCACTCCACTGAGCTTGTTTCTTGAATTCTCTTTTTCTCACGAGACTGAGAGCCCTAGGACTGCAGGGGTGGCACTGGCTTGTTCACCACGGTGCCCCTGCACCTGGCACAGGACCCATAATCTGAAAAGGGTGCTTGAGAAAACATTCCAGAATTTGAAACCCAGATGTCATTCTGACTCCTTGCTATCTACCTTCCCAGGCAGTGGCCCTTCTATGGCAACGCATCTGCAGAACCCTTTCACATATTTAATCCGTGTATGAAATTTCCCCTTGTCATCTATTTCAAGCAGCACTCAAATGGTTTTAAAGATAAATAAGATAAAAATTTTTTAATAATATGATGCCTTTATACAGCAAAATAGGTTGTTTCCCAGGGATTCTGTAAAGTCAAGAAAGAAAAATCTATATCATTACTGATACCTCTTCGCATATGTCTGAAATGTGTTCCTAAAGAGATTACTTATGTGAAGCACACTCCAAATAAGGCATTCTGTTTTCTCCAGAAAGCAATTCTGACTTCTTCTGAACGTGGCAGTGTCTCCAGGGAAGGGTGGGGATATCCGAAGCAGTGGCAGAGTGATGCTGAAGCAATGGCAGAGTAGGGAGGGGACAGAGAGGGGAAGAGCTGAGCAGGGACCTGGAGGCTCTCCTGCAGAGGAGGAGGAGAGGGTGGGGGAGGGAAACTGATCGCTCCCCTGCCTCTGCTATCATCACCCTTTCTTCCTCCCTCTGCCACCACCTGGAAGAACGGGCTGCTTGAAACCCAGAAACACTGCAGAAAATGATAGCCATTTCTCTGGGTGGACCCTCAAAAGCCTTTTGTCACTGATAAGGTAGCAAATCCTTGTGGATGATCCCATGTTTTTTTACACACAGACAAATAGAACCGCATATATGTGTTTATGTGCCCATCAAAAAAGACCTTGAAGAATACACATCAAAATATTAACAGTGATTCCCCCTGGGGAATGGGAAGGAGAGTGGAAGGGATCAGGAAATAATACTTTCTGCTTTATACATCTCTCTATTATTTGGATTTTTTTCCAGCCAGCGTGTATTTTTTTTTATATTAGAAAAACACAGAAACCTGTTTGGCATAATGAAAATACGACACATTGACTTGCTCTGTTGTTCTCTGGGTGGATTCTAATAAAGATTTTGACATAAGATTCTTAGGACCTAGAAGCTGATATTCAGAAGGAATTGTTTTCTAATCTCTATTATTTGCTTGATAAATTCTTACCAACAACAGTCTGGATTTCCTTCATTATTGCCTCTTCAACTAGGGGGTGCTTTGCAATGAGAAACAGCATGAAAAACACAGAGACAGACATGGTGTCCGGTGCTGCGATCAGCATTTCCAATACGCACTGGTTCACATTCTCTCTTGTCAGGTCACCACGCTTCTGAACAATTGAAAGCGGGGAGAAACATTGGCAACGTGAATGAACGGTTCAGAACAGGAGGGGAGGTGGCACTCAAGGATTAATAACCTCAACAAAATGAAATCATAGAAATTATGTGTCTCTGGGTCTGATGGTGGACATTTGCACTAACAATCTTCATCTCAAAGCTGAAGAACTGAACGAAATATCTATGTGTTTAGTGTCTTTGGATTCCCCAGTTTTCCTATTTTTATTGTACAGAAACACAGAAGTTTCAGTCTTAAAGTTCAATCTTACCTGACTGTCTAATAGGGGGCTATTGGATTGGGCATTATAGAAATACTGGAGCATATAGTCAAAGCAGAAACATGCAACAATTAACAGGAGAGAATTTTTAGACACTGATACAGTCATACACGTATGTTGTGTGGGAATTAGGGTCAGTTCAGGTCTGTACCTCAGCCAAAATCAACTCAGTGGTGAAATCCATTGAGTCTTCCAGTTTCTCTGCTACGGAAATCCTGTTTCTTTTTTTTTCTACCAGAATTTCCATTTCTTCTTTCAGCTCCTCACTGGAAAAAACAGTGTAAATATTATCTACTTGTACACAGATATGACATCTAGATAAATGGATTTGTTTGCCATGTTTAAAAATAAAGTGATCTGCTTTAGTGGAAGCCATTAGTGCTCATGAATAACTGAATTTATACTTAATTCTTCACAAATATTCTTAAATTACATACACATTATATCATGTTAAGGAACCAGAGTTAGCCCATGTATCTCGGCAGTGGTAGCAAAATCAAGGCTGAAACTGTAGTTAAGGGTTGAAAACTGGTACCAAATGGCTAAATCCAATTATGTTTTCTGCTATTTGATTGGGCCAGCACAGTGCTTAAGTTAAACATCAAAAACCAAAGCCAGTGAATGCCTTTAGTGGGAGCATGCACTCTCCAGTCTCCCACGGGCACCTCCATTTCCTGTGTTACATCCACCCAGCCCACTTTTATCTGCATAGTCTCGAAGACAATTGAGTTTGAGGTTCCTCTTCTACACAGGCAGGAAGTATTTTTCCTGATATTTATCTCATACCTTGCAGTTTCTGCCTCATAGTAACACTAAGTAAATATTTGTTGAACGAATGACTGTCTGCATCAATATACATATGCCTTTTGACAGTGTGCAGGAGGGAAAAACACCTTCGACAAAGGGTCAGGTTCTGGTCCAGGTTGTTGTCGTTCCACGTAACCTAGTTTAAGTCTGAGTCTTATGTCTCTTTTAAAGTGAAGGGATCAGGCTAGATGAACAATAAGGCCACCTTGAGATCTCAATTCTGTTATCTTTGACTTTGTCTTTAAGTGTATGCATTCACGTATAATTGTATTGTTCCCCAATCTCAGGGAACAGTATTCTGTATTATGTTAAATGTACAGTAAATCTTTCTTTCAAATTCTTGTTGACACAGTTGCCTACACGCTTAAATACTCTGTTGACCTAAATAGCCTCTGTGTTTACTTCAGTTCAACAGGAAAAGTAACAGAGGATTCTTTAAGATACCTCCTATCTTCAAAAGTTTTTTGGGGGGGCATCTCAAGGAAGATGTTTAAACATTCTGAGAGATATTCTTCAGGGTAGTATTTTCATTGTGTCATTCTAAATAAGGATGCCTACTATTGTTTATCTCTGTAAGTATGCTTTATAGGCGCGCGCACAAACACACACACACACTCACCATTCCAGACATACAGCAGGGATATATTCACGTTTATTCATTTACCTACCCATCCATTTGTTCAGCAAATATTTGTTGAGTATCTCCTACATTTATTCAATAGTAGGCTAGAATGCTCATAGCATTCCTACCTAAGCAGTGGCTCCCAAATGGCCTGGGATGTATTGAAATGCCCCTAGACTTTGAATTCCTAGAGAATTTCTTGATGGAGCTGCATCCACTTCTAAGCATCTCCTTCCTCCCTGGGCCAGAATCAGGGGCCTGTGAATATCCACTGGGATTCCTCCTATTCAGGTTAAAATTTGCTTCGGCTTAAATGTATGTATTTGAATTTGTATGTCATTAAAAACTAGGAGAATTGAGTTAAATGTCAGTTTACAGGAAATAAGTCTCTGACTTACAAATTATATTGCAAGAATTCCTCTGTTTGTACGAAAATAATGGTGGCTAGGTTCCTAGTCCAGGCCACAAACACTTATGTATTCTGAGACTGAAAAGCCTACATTTGACAAAACAAAAAGTAGAAAACAGTACTGTGCTAATATTGGGAATTCAAAGAGGGAAAAATATAAAATTGAATAAATAGGGATGGAAGTAGATGTCCCAGAAACCTTTACATAAATATATTTTTTAAAATATTGGTATGAAAGACAAATTCTATATGATCTCTCTTATATGTGGGATCTTAAAAAAACAATAACAAAAGGAGAAATCCCAACCTCAGTTTTACAGGAAGAGATTGGTGATTGCCATGAGTGCTGGGGGTAGGTTGGGTGTGAAATGGGTGAAGGGGGTCAAAGGTACAAACTTCCTTCAGTTATATGATCAATAAATCATGGGGATGTAATGTACAGCATGATGACTACAGTTAATATACAGTATTGCATATTTAAAAGTTGCTAAGAGAGTAGATCTTAAAAGTTCTCATCACAAGGAAAAAGTTTTGTAACTATGTATGGTAAAAGATGTTAACTAGATTAATTGTGATGAACATTTCTCAATATATTCAAATATTGAATCAGGCTGTACACCTGAAACTAACAATGTTATATGTCAGTTATGCCTCAAAAAAAGTATCAGCATTATTGCAAAGGAATGCAGGGGAAGGAGATTAAAAGATTTCTTTAGGTTTTTACTGCTCTAGATCAGAGGAGATAGTACATAGTGAACTAACCATTGGCAAATTTATATAGAGAGGGAATGTTGTTGAGATAATTTTAAAGAAACCAAAGAGAAACTGTTGTACAGTCTCATGCAGTAAGTTTCTATGGGCCTGCTGACCATACTGAAGCTAAACTAATGACCAAGTTTAACTGCGGACCAATGAGACTCTTGAGACGACCACAAATTCTGACAGCAGTGAAGAGATGAACCATTTATCTTATCGATTCAAGTCACAATAAGCTCCGGTAGAAACAAAGAGAAATGTGTAAAGGACCAGGTGTCCAAGTCATCCACCTAATACTCATCATCTGCTTGAAGCAACATCAAGCTACTACCTGGAACTAGTACTACTGAACTTCAACACGCAGACAGGAGGAAGGTAGCTCTTCAGACAACTTTGGGAAATTGTAGAGATGGAGAATTTAAGGTAGTCAGGGACATCTGGGAAAGATATGAACAGAGGGGTGGGGAAAACTAACATGTTTACTGCCTACTATGTGTCATGCTTTGTGCTGATTGCCCTTCACAGAGGATCTCATTAACCTGTATTGCCACCACGGAGGGGATGTTATATTTTACTTTGAAGAACTTCCCAAGGACATTTGGTTACTAAGTGGTAGAGATAGGATACAAACCAGGTCTGTCTACCTTTAGATCCCCTGTGCTTTCCACTGGCGGTTAGAGGTGGCAAGTACAATGGCTGGAAACTTACACTCTAAAAACCCACTGATTATCCAATAGGCCATTGGGCATTTGTCTAGTCTTCTGCTAGACTAGTGTGACACCAAAGCAAAGCCATTTAATGACAGTTTTAGGATCCCCCAAGATATAAGATGCATAACTGAACAAACAACACATCTTATAAAAGTTAATCATGAAAAAATTCTCTTGCAACTACTGTCAATTCTGACAAATTGAATTAAGTTAAATTCATTCAGAAGAAACACAACAATAAAATGATTTATTTTTCCAGACATGCGAAGAGAATTTTGACTAATGATAAGGATAGGTTCAGCCAACCCTTCTCTTCAACTCAAAATACACAGCAGTGTCCTAGTTACAGAGATGGAGCTCTCAGCCTCAAAACTGCCCTGGGCCAAAGTCTTCTTTCCTCTGTGGTCTGGCCACATGCTGCCGAATTGCTGTAAGATGTGTTTCACCGGCAACTTAACAGCTCCCTTGCGGTCTGGAGAGGAGAAAGCTTGCTGAAGAGGCCAGCAATAACTAAGACACAACACAGATCAATCCAATCTCAGCAATAAATATTCCAAAATATGTTACTTACACAGACTTTTCATACTTTCTGCATAGCCAAGAAATCTTAAAGAAGATGTCTGGTTTGAGAAGGAGAGCTTGCCATGCATCAAAATAACCCTGGATTTTAACCACGATGGCCCTTTCTGGAAAAACGGAAAAAGATCAGAACAGATGAGCAAAAATGTGAGCCCAAGAATGGTACACTGCTCAGAGAAGATCCCCTGTAGACTCTCCTACCATCTGGGACTCTAAGCAGGTCAAGGTTCCACCTTCACTGGGTGTTTCAGCCAGGGGAATGCCACTAAACAAATCAACACTAATTTATTCTGCTTGGCATCTAAATTGGCCACGCTAACCAGAGATTTGCCAGTTTTCATGTTTGCGTTAGAGACACAGCCTAGAATCTCACATCTTTCTCCTTGGCTGAGCTGCCAACACCTTTTGTTTACCTGACCGTTTGAAATAAGTAATTAATGCTGTTGTGGCCTCAATTCTGGTGCCTGGAAAGGCAAAAAGCCTCCCCACTCTGTTGTTTATATTTCGGTTCAGAGGGTGGAATTCATCTTGGAATCTTCAATGCCTTGTCCTGAGTCTTGTGCACAGTCAGATCTTAATGGATGTTCTTGAATTAAGTTGAATACTAGAGAAAAGAAGACCCCTCCTTTTTTTCAACTTATACACAAGAGAAGGGAAGAGACATTTGCAGATGCAGAAACTGCAGTTCATAGAAATGAAGAAGCTTGCCCAACAAAGTAGAACCACTATGGCAAGAAGTCCCTAGGCTGGAGCCTGGTTCTATCTAACCTCAGGGCCATGTCCTTTCCTCTTTGGTGCACTGGGTCCCTCAGGCCAATTGAGAGTTTAATAATGACCCAGTGAGCAGAGGGAAATACGCATAAGTCTGTAGGGGTTATGAAGGTTCTTAGACTGCAGTCTGCATCCATAAGTTAACAGAGAGCTGTACAATTCCCTTTACTTGATCCCTCCTAAGAGTCAAGGCTAGTGGGGAACCAAAGAGCAGGGACTTCTAAAATAGGTACCTGTCATATCTTAGGAGAGATGTACGTGGAACAGGCAAACAGGACTTTCAGAGTCCCTGTGTGAAAGGGGATGAGGCAAGAGGCTGTGACTAATGTCCTCAGAGTGAATGGGGTTCCCATCCTAATGTCAATCAGATGGGGTTCCTATGACTCTGGTAAGGAATCATTAAAGAGGCAGGGAGATGATTCGAGGAGAGTGGAGCAGAGAAAGGGAGGGCTTATTGCTTGTCTGCTTGTCCAAATGTGGTCAATCAGGGAGCAGGTGTGATAGCTCAGCTGGTTTGGGCAAGTGTGAAACTCGTGCCTTGTTCTTGTGCCTGTGATGTTCTTCCTTCAGATCTGCACGTGGCACATCGTCACACTTCATCTGGGCTATTTTCAGACATCCTCTCCACAGAGGCCTTCCTGACCACCCTTTCTCTCCACAAGAGCTTCAGCCTCCCACTGACCTCCCCCTTCACTTTCTAGCCCTTTGCCCTGCTTTGTTTTTTTTTTTAAGGCACTTATCATAGCCTAATATATTATTAGATAGATAGTTTTTTACTGTCCATATACCCACTAGGATGTAAACTCTTTGAAGGCAAGGACTTCGTCTTGTCCAACTGGTCTATCTCCAGAACCTAAGCCTGGCATGAAATAGGCAATCAATAAATATTAGTTGAATGAATGTATGAATCAATGAGCATTGCTAGAAATCAAGTCAGGAGAAATTACATTAAGCTGACAGCAGCAGAAT